GGTGTGTGTGTGTGTGTGTGTGTGTTCTTCAGGTCGGCAGCTTCTGCCTGTCGGAGTCGGAGTCGGGCAGCGACGCTTTCTCTCTGAAGACTAAAGCCGAGAAACACAGCGATTATTACATCATCAACGGCTCCAAGATGTGGATCAGTAACGCGGAACATGCGGGAGTGTTTCTGGTCATGGCCAACGCTGAACCCGCCGTGGTGCGTACACACACTCTCTAACACGCGCACACACATTCACTTACACACACACACACTCTAACACACTCACACACACACACTTTCTCTCTAACACACACTCTCACACACACACACACGTAGCTGTAAGTCTTATGGCTGTGAATAGTGACCCGTCTCAAGCTTTGAAAAAAGACACGAGTATCACAGAACGATCCGCTGTGACACGTGTGTGTCGCGTGTGTGTGTCGCGTGTGTCCGAGTGTTCTGCAGGATCACGGGAGGGTTCGGGGAAAATCAAACCACAACTGAATGTTATTTAACAGAAGGTGTGTGTGTGCAGGGCTACAGAGGGATCACCTGCTTCCTCGTGGACCGAGACACGGACGGGCTCAGCATCGGGAGGAAGGAGAATAAACTGGGCCTGAGAGCCTCGTCCACCTGCCCTCTCACATTCGACAACATGAAGGTGAAGACTGTCTTCATCTCACATCATCATCATCACCTCACCGCATCATCATCATCATCATCATCACCTCACCGCATCATCAAATGTTAGCGTACTGACGATGTGCTTCATCCGCAGATTCACCAGAAGAACATTTTGGGGAAAGTCGGTCACGGGTATAAATACGCCATTGGGATGTTGAATGAGGGCCGGATCGGGATCGCAGCACAGGTGTGTGTGTGTGTGTGTGTGTGTGAGAGAATGAAGGCCGGTCTCACGTCTCTCCTGTGTTTCAGATGCTGGGTCTGGCTCAGGGCTGCTTCGATCACGCGGTTCCCTACACCAGGCAGCGGGTTCAGTTCGGCAAACGCGTCTTTGACTTCCAGGTACTTCACCTGTGTGTGTGTGAGTGTGTGTGGCGTGTTGGGCTCGTCCGTCACACACGCCTGTGTAATGTGATGTTGTGACGCAGGGTCTGCAGCATCAGATCGCTCATGTGGCCACACAGCTGGAAGCCGCTCGACTGCTGACGTATAACGCGGCGAGACTGAAGGAGGCCGGAAGACCCTTCATCAAAGAGGCCTGCATGGCCAAATACTTCAGTGCAGAGGTCAGTGTGTCAGTCAGTGCGTGTGTGTGTGTGTGTGTGTCTGAGTCTGTGCTGCTCTGACACTAGTGTATGTGTGTTTTCAGGTTGCGGCTCTGACCACCTCTAAGTGCATCGAGTGGATGGGGGGAGTGGGGTTCACCAAAGACTATCCCATCGAGAAGTATTACCGCGACTGTAAGATCGGTGAGTGACGCGCAGCCGCGACTGTAAGACCCGTCACTGGGGTTAATGGCATTTATGACTGTTCCCCTACCATCCTTGGAAAAAAAAAGATCGCTCCCCAGATGTAGATCTACATTTTGCTTCGTTTTTCTCGCGGACATTTGATGGCGTGTACAGACACGCGGAATCACTCGGACGTTAATGGCGTAGACATACACATGGATACACGCGGATAGCTCAAAATGCGTAGAGATAACACACCACTTGACTCGAAAGTGTGTGTTTACGCAAAAGTCATGATGTCATGTTGCGTTCTGTTCACTGACGGCCGTTTCCCTGCAGGGAGCATCTACGAGGGAACCACCAACATCCAGCTGAGCACCATGGCCAAGATCATCGACACGGAGTTCGGCGGCTGACTCGGACATCCGGAGATCCAGAATACATAAGCTGCAGCTCTTCACGTACTAAAACACTGATGGAGTTTATTTGATGAAGTCTAGTTTGTTGTGTGTGTCTGTACTGACCTCTGAACCCTCTCGAAACGCATCATTTCTTGCTTCTGTAGTTTTGTTTTTTCCATGAGTTTCTGAGATGATCACGTTAAGATAAAGCTGTCTCATACGTCTGTTACAGTTATTGATCGAGCTGGTGCCTTATTGACGATTGACAGCTGTTCATCGGTTGTGTCTGTGTGTTTGTCACTGATCCTGAGATGAATAAACATGAACACACACCTGTGTTTGGCCTGATGTGTTGTGTTGGACAGCAGGGGGCAGTGCAGGACTGGTCTGATCCATCAGTGTTTCTGCGCATGCGTCCTCTGGCCGCTGGGTGCCGTGCACGCGCTCAAACCTGGCTCAAACAGGCACGCGGTCATGAAAACAGTCAATGCATCAATTTGTGCGGATACAATACTATAAATAACAGCAATAAGTCTTATATTAATAACATAGTTTTCCTAAACTCAGTCAAGAAAGCGAGCTTTCCTGGTGTCAGACCGCTGAAAGGAGAAGAGTTACACACACACACACACACACACACACAGAGAGAGAGTTCAGCAGATCAACGTCAGTGCAAGAGTCGTATTTTTTATCATTAATATATGTTGATCAAAACTAAGGATTTACGTTTTTGCACGTTACAGTTTAAATTCTGCCTTTTATTTTTTTTTCTTTAATGTTAGTTGTATTTAATATTATTAAGCCTGCTTGACATCCATCCCCCAGACAGTACTAATAACACAAATATTAATTAAGCTTTTCCAAAATTTGTTAGGAAGAAATCCAGATGAGTTATGATAGACGCGCGCGCACACACACACACACACACAAACGCGCGCACCTCTCTCTCTTCTCTCAAGATTCTCTCTCTCTTCTCTCTCTGATTTCCATCATTTATCTCCAGCCTGCTCTTCAATCGGATCATTTCTCCACATGTGTCAGAGCTGCGGACTGGAGGAACTTTCTTCTTCTTCTTCTTCTTCTTCGACTCTCAGTTTCACTGATGGAGAACAAAACTCAAGAAGTCAATGATTCTCCGTTTTCTATCCAGAATCTGCTGAACAAACCGGACAAACCCAGAGCTCATCTCTGCTTCTCCAGAGGCCCGGAGCTCAGCTTCAGGATCGGGCCCTGGTGCTGCCCCAACACAGGTGTGTGTGTGTGTGTGAGAGAGAGAGAGAGAGTATTTAAAATATAAATATAGGTAATCAATGAGTTATGGATATTTTTGTCATTGTGGGAATAACATCATGTAATTGAAAACTTAAAAGTATTTTAAAATGTAATATAGTCTAATTACAAGTATTATAGACTATAAATGGATCCAGATCACGTGATCAGGCGCAGTGTTATACTAATACCTGAACGGAGGTTTGTAATATAAACAATGAATGTAATCAATTACAGTTACCGAGACAAAATGTGTAATTAAATTACAGAAAAATGTTAACAATTACAAAGGGGGTTTGAACACCCTAAAGAATCACACTTTATTCTGGTTATTATGAAAAGACGGACATTAAATGGGGACGTAATTGGGGACATTTAATATTCAACAATTGATCTGTGTTGTATTATTTTCATGTTATCACTGTGAAGCTGCTTTGATACAATCTGTATTGTAAAAAGCGCTATAAAGGTGACGACGTTAAACTGCTCAAAGTCCCTGTAATGTGCTTTATTTTACTGTGTGTGTGTGTGTGTGTGTGTGTGTGTGTGTGTGTGTGTGTGTGTGTGTGTGTGTGTGTGTGTGTGTGTCAGATGTCAGGAGCGACTCGACGCTGAACACACACGCGGGTCCCAGGGATGAGGAGGAGGAGGAGGAGGATGAAGGTCTCCTGGAGGAAAGTGACCCGGATGAGCAGAAGCCTGAGGGACAGAAGAGCCTGTGCCGGAAGAAGAAGACGCGCACCGTGTTTTCCCGCGCGCAGGTGTTCCAGCTGGAGTCCACCTTCGACCGCAAGCGCTACCTGAGCAGCGGGGAGCGCGCGGGCCTGGCCGCGGGACTGCGCCTGACGGAGACGCAGGTCAAGATCTGGTTCCAGAACCGCCGGAACAAGTGGAAGCGCCAGATCGCGGCAGAACTGGAGGCCGCTAGCCTCGGGCACGCGCAGAGGATCGTACGCGTACCCATACTCTACCACGAGCACGCGGAGAACGCGCGGGCCGCGGGGCTAGCCTTCACGCACGCGCTGTATTACCCGCATTCCCTGATTAGACCCGTGTGAGAACCGGAGAGACTCAACCTGGAACAAGTGACCAAAACGAATTAACTTACCTGTGGGAGAGTCACACATCTGTACACACACACACACACAACACCACATCTGCGCACAGACACAGACTCCTGCGCGCACACATACACACACACTTGCGCGCGCGCACGCACACCTGAACAGGGGTTAGCTGGATTAACGGCTGTAAAAACATGTTAGGCTATTTATTTGTTTGTAGAATATATGGTAAAATAAACGTGCTTTGCTGAAGGAGAGTGCGTGTTCAGCAGAGGTCGGTGCACTGCGTTTATGAGGCTGTTATTATTATTATTAATTAGCCTAATTATTATTATGAATTATTATTTATGCTGTTGTTATTATTATGAAGCGAAATCAGTGTATTTGTCCATAAACCGTGTGTGTTTATGGAGGAAAGTGAATAGACATCTTATATTATAAATGTCACTGAAACATCGGCAATGTTGGGAATGTGTTTCCTGTGTGTGTGTGTTCATGTTGTTACGCAGATTCATGCAGATACTGAAATCGCATTGTTAATGATTGTATTTGTCAGTGTAAATTTTGCTCAAGTAAATATTTTATTGTCTGAAAACATCAGAAACGATGAATTATGATGATAAACGGATATTTTGGAGGATTTCCTCCAGTTTTTATACGGTCATTAATAAATGTTGATCACTGAATGTGTTTGTGTGATTATGAAGTAGGCTAATAAACTGCTTCTGTTGAAATTATTAAATCATTTATTTTTGTGGTGAATCAGTCATTTAACAACAATCCTCCGTGTTTTATGACGCCACGGGATTTACATTGACATTATCACCGCGCAAATTATATTTTAGCCTTAAAAATGCTAGAATATCATAAATAATCCCAGTCGTTTCTATCAAGTAATAAAAGTGTTGATGTTCAGAAAATCTATATTCTCTGCAAAATAGAGATCCACCAGCGATGAACAGAAGATCATAAATAACATATTCTTCTAAGTGCGAATAAATTTTTTAATAACCCATAAAGAACATATTTCCTTTATAAAGAAGCTCTTGTGGAATTGGAGATGATAAACGCAGATTATCGAATGAATCAAATTTGACAACTATTATGTTACAACCGAATATTCCAGAGTTATATTTAACATTTATTTATCTTAGGCTAATATTTTCGTGGCAATTCGTGAATAGGCCGCGCATTACAATATTCTCCAGCTAAAGATTAAATCGTATTTAGGCTATTAATGTAGGGCTATTTGACAGGGGCAGTGTATCAATTAGCATTGCTGCTAAAGCATGAGAATTATTTTCATTCAGTAACGCGCAAGTTATACTAAATTTAATTAAGGTTATATAAATTGAAATCTTATAACGACACAACAAAATATATTCTCTTCATAATATAGGCTACAATAATATGATCTGCAGCTAAAGCAATATTGCGCAGAACTGCGGAGAAATCATCGCCCAAAGTAACTGAGGATTTATAAATATTTTCATTAGTTTCATGATCATCCGCGAAACACAGTTTAAGTGTTTTAAATATTTCAATATAAAGTATTTTTCCACTCAAATAGACCTAGGCTATATTTTGTTTATTGTTGAATCATTATCATTTTCTGTGAAATGTTGATGTTTCTATAAATAGATTATTTTAATAGTCTGACTGGAATGTTTCTTCATTTGTTTCTCAAAACCTTTTGAATGTTTAAATATGTGCTTAGTTTAATTCTTCAGAAAATCAATGTTTGTTATGATGACAGAATCTGGATGTTAAATCTAAATTGACTGATAATACTAATTATCAACATGAAAAAGGAACTACTTCTTAATGAAATTAAGGAATATACGATCACAATTCTCTATAATGTTGAAACATCCTCTTCAAAGTTCAAACGTTAACATAACGTTATCATTCCTCATTTTGTAGCTACTTTAAATTTATTACATATCGATTTGGCCTTGATCAAATCTTGAAAGAAAAAAAATGAAGAGAAATTAAAATAAAAGGATTGATATAGGCTACAGCTCCAATTCAACAAGCGGAAATACGCAACATCTCGCGGGATTTCGTTGTCTCGTGTTTCTACTATGTTCCCGTTCATGTTCATGCCCGGCTTGGGCGTTCATCCTTGTAACCAATCACCACTAGAGAACATTAGAGGGACTTTTGAAACGGACCAATGAGTGCAGAGGGCTGTTGTGAACGCATCCAATCACAGTAGAGCTTCGATGAGCGGCAGAATAGCAGCAGATCAGAACCTCGCGGTGAGTTTTAACGAACATTCTGCTTATTTTAATACACATATTCTTTTATAAACACATTGGCTGTGTTTCAGAGAGGTTTACTCGAGTTTGAGCTCTGTATAAACTCTATAGTGTCAGTCTTTATCAGCTGCGCATTGCTTCAAGACATCCAGTCGAAGGCTGACGGACTTTAGAGTTTAAATACATTCCAGTGTAATTTAAACTTACTTGAGTTTAGTTATGATTTCTTTCGGCTTTAGATTGAGTTTTAGTCCTTTGTAAAGAGAATCGGAGCAGAAACAAGGATGTTCACAATGCTGGGAGGTGTACTACTGTGTGGTTGCTAGGGTGTTACTGTATGGTTGCTAAGCTGTTGCTAGGTGCCTTCCTACTGTCTTGGTTTTTGGGGGCAGTTTAATAAGTGGTGAATCTGATGACTAGTAAAGTTAAAACTCACACAGAGGATCTGATTCATGTCCTGGGCTGATGAGTGTGGGTACTGGTACTAGCGATGAGGGTCTTAAAAGCCCCCCTGTAACGTTAGTCAGTTTTATCCCTTAAAACTAATATTTATTTCACCCATATATATTTATTAATTCCTTGGAAAAAAATCTTCATGCCTGAGAAGAAACCACTTGAATGTAGCTTAACTCAACACCCTCGGTTCATTTAGTAGTTGTGGTTCTAATAAATATTCAAATGAGCCCCGCCTCCACTCACTCACTCAGAGATCCACTGGTTGACCCTCACACGTTGATCTGATTGCTTACAAGGTCGTTTGTGATGTCAGAAACACCAGCGATTTCCAATTTTAAGGCTTGGGTCTTTTTTGAGCGAGAGGAATCGAAGTGTAACCGCTAAACGAAGAAGCCATATTAAAAACACCACACACACACACACACACAACATTAAACGCTGCATTCACACCACAGGGGGGCAGCAACTAATGCTCCTCTAATGAATGTGTTCAGATGACCGGAGCCAACGAGTTCAAGCTGACCCAGGGCCCGGACGACAGCATCTCCGCTGTGAAGTTCAGCCCGGCCTCGCCTCAGTTCCTGCTGGTGTCATCCTGGGACTGTTCGGTCCGGCTCTACGACGTCAGCGCCAACAGCATGAGGATGAAGTACCAGCATCTGGCGCCCGTGCTGGACTGCGCTTTCTACGTGAGTGACACGCTGGAGAATGACGTCTGCGTTCGTCTGTAACTCTGTCTGCGTTCGTCTGCGCTGTAACTCTGTGTCTGCTGCTGTTTCAGGATCCGACACACGCGTGGAGCGGTGGGCTAGATAACCAGCTGAAGACTCACGATCTCAACACAGATCAGGGTGAGTTCAACACTTGTGCTGAAAGTCTGGAGTAGGCTGCTCATTTTTGGGTTTGTACACGACATACGCTCGCGACACACTCATGACGCATAGCTCGCTAACACGACATGCTTATAAATGCACGACACAAGCTCGTAAACACGACACTCTCACGAACACACGACACGCTCGCCAACACAACACGCGACACGCTCGCTAACACACGACACGCTCGCCAACACAACACGCGACACGCTCGCTAACACACGACACGCTTGCTAACACAACACACGCTCGCTAACACACGACACGCTTGCTAACACAACACACGCTCGCTAACACACGACACGCTCGCTAACACAACACACGACACGCTCATTAACACAACACACGCTCGCTAACACAACACACGACACGCTCGCTAACACACGACACGCTCGCTAACACACGACACGCTCGCTAACACAACACACGACACGCTCGCTAACACAACACACGACACGCTAATTAACACAACACACGCTCGCTAACACACGACACGCTTGCTAACACAACACGCGACACGCTCGCTAACACACGACACGCTCGCTAACACAACACACGACACGCTCGCTAACATAGACACGCTCGCTAACACAACACACGACAAGCTAATTAACACAACACACGCTCGCTAACACACGACACGCTCGCTAACACAACACACGACACGCTAATTAACACAACACACGACACGCTCGCTAACACAACACACGCTCGCTAACACACGACATGCTCACTAACACAACACGCGACACGCTCGCTAACACACGACACGCTCGCTAACACAACACACGACACGTTAATTAACACAACACACGACACGCTCGCTAACACAACACACGCTCGCTAACACACGACACGCTTGCTAACACAACACACGCTCGCTAACACACGACACGCTCACTAACACAACACACGCTCACTAACACACGACACGCTCGCTAACACAACACACGACACGCTCGCTAACACACAACACGCTCGCGAACACAACACACGACACGCTCGCTAACACACGACACGCTCGCTAACACACGACACGCTCACTAACACACGACACGCTCGCGAACACAACACACGCTCGCTAATACAACACGCGCTCGCTAACACAACACACGCTCACTAACACACGACACGCTCGCTAACACAACACGCGACACGCTCGCTAATACAACACGCGCTCGCTAACACAACACGCGCTCACTAACACACGACACGCTCGCTAACACAACACGCGACACGCTCACTAACACACGACACGCTCGCTAACACAACACACGCTCACTAACACACGACACGCTCGCTAACACAACACACGCTCACTAACACACGACACGCTCGCTAACACAACACGCGACACGCTCGCTAATACAACACGCGCTCGCTAACACAACACACGCTCACTAACACACGACACGCTCGCTAACACAACACGCGACACGCTCGCTAATACAACACGCGCTCGCTAACACAACACGCGCTCACTAACACACGACACGCTCGCTAACACAACACGCGACACGCTCACTAACACACGACACGCTCGCTAACACAACACGCGACATGCTCGCTAACACAACACACGACAGGCTCGCTAACACAACACGCGACACGCTCGCTAACACAACACGCGACACGCTCGCTAATACAACACGCGCTCGCTAACACAACACACGCTCACTAACACACGACACGCTCGCTAACACAACACGCGACACGCTCGCTAATACAACACGCGCTCGCTAACACAACACGCGCTCACTAACACACGACACGCTCGCTAACACAACACGCGACACGCTCACTAACACACGACACGCTCGCTAACACAACACGCGACATGCTCGCTAACACAACACACGACAGGCTCGCTAACACAACACGCGACATGCTCGCTAACACAACACACGACAGGCTCGCGAACACACGACACACTCACTAACACGCGACACGCTTGCTAACACGACACGCGACACGCTCGCGAACACACAACACGCGACACGCTCGCGAACACAACACACGACACGCTCGCGAACACACGACACACTCACTAACACGCGACACGCTTGCTAACACAACACACGACACGCTCGCATACGCGACACGCTCGCGAACACACGGCACGTGAACATGTGACACGCTCATGAGCGCATACAGTAGATGGG